GAGCTATACATCAAAAATATTGAACTCAGTATCCCCCAGGCGTTCACTAAATGCATTTTGCTTTGGCTTGGAATGCGGAATGAATGGTTGGTTTGTTTGATTGAATGTGGAATTTCATTTATGTGGTGTGAATGCAGGGAAGACTGAAGGCAGGGGAACGGGTAGGGTAGGCTTGGAGTCAGACTATTATAGCGCTAAATAATGGGCATATCATGGGGCACTCCTAGCATAGATTACCATTCTAACCTGTCTTTGCTGGTAGATAGATGCGCTTAATTAGTTACCTGAATTCACTCCTCCCCGGAGAGAGGACTCTTGAATAAGTGGACTTCGCCTGGGCGTCATCTTTCCTTTCATTCACTAGTTGATCCTCCTGTCAGATAGAAGCTTTTCAAAGGGTGCTTCGCAACCAATCAGGATGCTTATACACCTCTATAGTCTAGCTTCATCTCTTCTCAGCCGGTTGCTCAGCTCTGTTGTTGGTCGACACGATCAGCTCAGGTTGGTTTGGAACGCATCTTGATCAGCTCCTGTTTTGGTCTCTTCCCAGCTGCTTGTGGATAGTAGCTCTCTTGATCAGTACTCGGCTATGTTTGACTCTCCTTTCCGCATCTGATCTCCTCATCCCGTCTAGCCCTTTCCTACAACCTATCTACTGGTTTGAAAGAAGAAAGGCTCGTTCCCCTAGTCCTACTGCTCCTTCTAATGCTACTGCTTCCTTTAGCTGCTCCGGTATCGGCATCGGCAGCATTCACAGCTGATTCTATCACTCTCACTCTTCTAGGGATAGAGCACTCTGTAAGAAGGTAGTCTGCCCTCCATACTAAGCTAAAGTCTGCCCTTTCTATTAGCTATAGTAGCTAGATGGGTAACGGTGATATTGTAGGTTCGAGCCCTACTAAGCCTACCACCCCCTTCTCTCATAGAATATTAAGAAAGTAGCCTCAAAGGGAGCTCAGAAGACCAATAAGAAGTGCTTGATCTTCCTCTATATGCTAAGCTCTTTCCTTCGCTTCAACTGGATAAGACTGCCCCTACATGTCATTAGCTTAAAAGCCTACCTCTGGTGTACCAGACGATGTTAGATAAAAAGAAAGAACTCACCGAGAAATTGGTTTCTTCTAAACCATATAAAAATTCCTGCTTTTTTGTCATATATGCATGCTTTATGCTTTTCCATAGTGAGCCTGCCCCGCGGATGTATTGGAAATGATATCTTGGGACGGATGTAAAGCTAAACAAGCAGAGTGAAAGAGAGGTAGAAAAAGAAGGTCACGTGTTGAGGGAAGGGTTATAGTAAATCAAAGCAAAATGCAGCTGAAAGCAAGGGCGGCAAGTGCCGGTCGTCGAGTGGCTGAACCAACCCCTACGGCGGATCCACGTACTGATGACGAAACAAGGGAATGAAAGGCCGCTTTGCGTCCTTAGCTGCGAGAATTTCTTTTCTCCGGTGCTGTCTCCTCACTAAGCGCTCTTCTTTTCCTTTCCTCATATCTAATTTTTTTAGGAGAGATAAAGGAAGGATGGTGTGCAACGAAGGCTTACCTTTTTCCTGCGTCTATGAAAGCAGCTATCCTCTCATCTCTTGCCTGGCATATCCTTTGAATTGAGGAGGAGTCTCCAAGTGAGACTGAGTTGTCTTTGGAAGGCATTATTCTAATATGGACCAGCAAGCACTTAGACCAGCTTTCAGCGTATAAGAGATGAGATCCGGAGAGCTATAAAGAGTGTTCCCCTCCAGCCAGTCTGAAGTCAATAGTATCTTATCACATCAAAAGCCATCAGGGAAGGGAAATCCTAGAATCAATGAAGGGAGAGAACTTTCAAGAGGAAGAAGAAAAGAAGTACGAGGTGCATTGCCCATTGACTAAGAAGGGGGCGGGGGAGGCAGTCTTCGAACTAGACCTATCCACCACTCCTTTCCCACCCACGTCTGCCGGCGCTACCTAATGAAGATTGAAGACTGGAGCATCCGTCCCCACCAGTCGAAGGAGAGGAAGAAAAACCTAGCATGGAATAATGGTAGAAAGGAATCCTTATCCTGCCCTGGGGAAGGATTTTCTCACCGCTATCACTAAACTAGACCAAATGACGTAGTAATTCTTGGGGCAAGAGGAATTCCTCGCCGAATGGAATGTAGCAACTAACTACTAGCTTAGTGAGCGGATCTAACTCTTTGTTGGGTAACTCTAAAGGCTTTGCAACCTTTAGAGCTGGTTGACAGCCATCTAGTCAGTCCCTCTCGCTCTTTTCTTTGATAGACATCGTTCGGTTCTCGGTCTCATCCGACGAAAAACTTTAGGTCCTTACGGATTCCCGATTTCTGAAGGAGTAGCGGCTTGTGTCTCCGGCTCTGGGAGAACTTTACCTATAGCTAACCTAGAGAGCTTTACTAATCCCTACAAGAAAAGGTCATTTTGCTCAAGATGTCCTTACCTTAAGAGTCTTATTAGCAGCTTCCACCCTACAAAATCCTTCAAATTGTATCTGATTAGGGTGCCACTCTTACCCTGCTTAGTCGAGTTACTCCACATGCGCAATCGGCTTGGGATGAATATCATAGGTTCTTTTCCTCTCGCGAGCTTCCTTTCGGAGTTGACGTGCTTCCTTAGCTGCGAGAATTTCTTTTCTCCGGTGCTGTCTCCTCACTAAGCGCTCTTCTTTTCCTTTCCTCATATCTAATTTTTTTAGGAGAGATAAAGGAAGGATGGTGTGCAACGAAGGCTTACCTTTTTCCTGCGCCTTCGGAAAGTATACTCCTAATGGTACCTTAGTACGCCATAGGCGTCTGAAGGGGGAGTGTAGTGAAGGAAGAAGGTGACTAAGACTCCACTTTCTCAGTGGAACTAAAAAAAAAAGAGTTTGAGCTCTTTTGGCTTACTTTTAGCTTGCATCCTAGAGCTTTCACTGCCGAAAGGTCTTGCGAAGCGCGGTTGCAGCGTCAATGGGCCTAGGAGAACTGAGTCGACAAGAGCTCGACGCAGAGTATCGTCGACTCAGAAATAGCGGGGAAGTTCTCACCATCGAGAACGACAGGCTCAAGGAAAGAATTCGTCTTCACCCTACTCCTTTTCTCACTGCAGCCTTCTTAAGCCGAAAGAAAGCCGGGCAAGAATCTCATTTTTTGGTAGTACGAAGGGGGAGCAGAATCGTATCTGGCAGTGGTTCTTCGGATCGATCACAGATTCTCGGCCCCGTCCTTTGGCTTCCTGGTCTGCTCAGCAAACGTACAAAGTGGACCGTAGTTTGGCTGACCCTCTTCTTCCCATTCGGGTTGGGTTGACCTAGAAGTACAGTAAGAAGGAATGCATTTGTTCCTCTGCTTGTCCGCTACCCTTAATTTAATAATGCCTTCCATCAGTATGAGTGAACGTGTTTCCCAGCTCCCGGTCTTTCTAAACAACAACGGTTCTAATAAATTCAGCCTTGTCACCCCGAATAAAGGGGAAAATAGGGCTATAAGTAGGCCGTTTGCTAGTGCTATAAGGGCTGCTCGCCTTTATACGGCTTGGCTTCGCTATCGCTCCTATGTAGTGGTCGACCTAAAAAGTCGTATTCCTGCCATACCAGAATGCCTAGGTTACACCTTCCCGCCCGAAAGAACCGCTCACTAGCCAGCCGGACTAGTGGGGGCCCGATCTGGAGACATACTGAAAACCATGCCTTTCGAACCGAACGCAACGCCCGTCTTCCAAATCAAAAGAAAAAGGGCTCGTTGGTTCCCTTTGTTTTACTAAATATAGGAGGTGTGTAAGTGGCTGGTAAAACTGCTGTGGGGCAGTGAACATAATCCAAAATCGACGTTGGCGGCCTATGGCCAGACTGAATCTCGTCGGAGGGTTTGTAAAACGGTACTCATTATGGAATTGATTAACAATATTGCCAAAGCCCATGGGGGCGTAACCGTATTTGGCGGAGTGGGTGAACGTTCTCGTGAAGGAAATGATCTTTACATGGAAATGAAAGAATCTGGAGTGATTAATGAAGAAAATATTGCAGAATCAAAAGTGGCTCTAGTTTACGGCCAGATGAATGAACCAGCCTGAGAGACCATTTTTCTTTAAAGAAAGTCCCGTTTTAATGATTTACAGAAATTTTTGTTTTGTTCAATTCTTCAGTTCGCCCTGTTAGTCCTCCAGGGCCTAAATAACTCGATTTTCTCCCATGAACTATTTGTGTCAATGGATTAGTTCGATCCAAAACTTGAGATAAGGAGCACATGTAAGGCACAGTCGGGTTGCTCACGCAGCGGATCTCTCTCTATCTATAGATATCTATAGATAGAGAGAGAGAGGTGTGAAAGTAATAGCCTTGCAATGATAGTAGGGTCGGGATATCCCCGCCCTCCGAAGCTCCTTATTATCTTGACCTGCAGGTTCTCCTGCAACATCTTTTAACTGTTCTAGCGCAGAGCTCCTTTCATCTCCTATATCTTCTTCTTAGAGCCCAAGTTTCGACACAAATTCTCGGCCTAACCCAGTTGGATCCGTGGATGTCTCTGCTACTTGCTGACAGTCACTCTTCATCTTCTCCTCTTTTATCTGAGCTTGATTCTGTTGATTACAAAATCAATCCTGAAACTGGTCATAAACATACCATCCAATAATCACTCTTAAAATAAGTTCCACCAATCCCTTAGCTAAACAGAAGCAACTAAATAATGCTCACCTGACTACGACTACCTGTCGATGTGTCAAGCTGATACAGTTCCTCCCAACACTTTATTTTGAATTCTCTGACGGAGTCCCGCTTAGTTTCTGATTTTGATCAGTTTATTTCTTTTATAATTCTAAAGTTTTCAAGAGCATTTTCATGACATAGTCCAAATTCGTTTAGTTCGTTTAGTAAGGGTGAGAAAGGGGTTTTCATATATATATGTAATAGACAGGCTTGTTTTCTTTAAAAAGGACTCTTTCCCGTGTATCCCCTCATTACTGGAGTAAGCCATGTATCTGGGAGGAACTTAAATAAAAAAAAGAATTCCTCTATTTGATGTCGATTCATCCACACTTCCATTCCTTGTAGAGGAAGGCTAACTGCTTGCTGGCTGGGAGCTGTATGAGCGATAACGTCCACGTACGACTCCGTGAGAAGGGCGGTGGACAGAAATGGCCTTGTTGTACCTCACTCTCGTCTTCACGTGTATCATCTGTAGCAAAACTATGAACGGGAGCTAGCAATCCGGACCGTATTGAAAAGGTTCCTGAGACACAGCATGGAAAAGTCACAATATTCAGAAACGAGGTCCAAGAATGAAGAAGGGGTTTAATTACTGAATGAATACAAGCTGTGGCTAATACCCGAGGCATAAAAGAAGCATTTTCTACGGGATCCCGAAACCACCAGCCACCCCGACCTAATTCATGATGAGCCCACCAACTTCCTGGCAAAATGCCTACGGTTAAAAACCACCGACATGTCAAGATCCAAATTCGAATTGGTTCCTGGTCCTGGTCAGAGACCACTGTGTTCGCGCCGGCGGTCCAACAAAGAGGCGAAGTAGTGGTATCTTTCTTTCCATTACGAACGACACGCATCGCCTGCTCCCTCCCCGTGTCCACTAGCGTTCCTGTCCAGAGCGAAGAGAAGGCGAAAAAGCGCCGCCGAAGCAGCAGAAGCAGGCTTCTATTGCTACGTAACAATAGAGCAGGATAGCATTTTGCGCCCACATGTTTGAATTTGAGGGTAAAGAGCGCACTTGTTATACGGGAGCTGAAAAAGTCCTTTCTATCTTATTAGTCAAGCGCTAACGCGCCCCTGCAATCAAACTAAAGTGCTAACGCGCCAACTATTATAGGTCGACAAAGCGTCCTTGCATCCGTTGATGAATGGTTATACAACGGTGGTCCTTATGAACTAATTGTTCTACACTTCTTACTTGGTGTAGCTTGTTACATGGGTCGTGAGTGGGAGCTTAGTTTCCGTCTGGGTATACGACCTTGGATTGCTGTTGCATATTCAGCTCCTGCTACCGCTGTTTTCTTGATCTACCCAATTGGTCAAGGAAGTTTTTCTGATGGTATGCCTCTAGGAATTTCTGGTACTTTCAACTTCATGATTGTATTCCAGGCTGAGCACAACATCCTTATGCACCCATTTCACATGTTAGGCGTAGCTGGTGTATTCGGCGGCTCCCTATTCAGCGCTATGCATGGTTCCTTGGCCTTATAAGCTGCATTCAGTCAAGGTTCAAGCCCTGGCTTACTTGGGCTAACCCTGCCCGCTTTTTTTGGTGGGTTCGTTCTGGCGGACGAATAAAAGCCCGCTTTGGGGAGAAATCCTCTTCCAAAAGTGCTTCCTACTCGACTCGTGCCTGAATAGGAAGCCTGAGTCCCTTTTTTTTCTGTCTATAGTCCGTAGTCGAGATGTCTATAAACTTTTCGCGGCTATTCCTATTCAAAGTGGATAAAGAGTTTATAACTACCTCTTCCTATCACACCGAGAGCAAGAGCTTCCTATTCTATCCCTGAATTGAGCTGTTGTTAAAATCGAACTCACTAGATTCTAGAACATCGGTTATTATCCTAATAGCAGCTGAGGAAATGGCAAGTGCCAGGCTAAAGACAAAGAGCTGTTCGCGGTTCCTATTGTTAAATTACAACTCAAAGCGAAAGATATTCGCAGAAGCTTCAGAGGCCAGGCGTATGCTTTCTTTCTTTTTTTATTCAATTCGAAAAAGTCTTACATAATGAGTAAAAAGCAAATTTTCGTATTCTATATGATCGACTTCCGCGAGTTCGAGGGATCGTGCTAAAGCATTTCCAGTCTGATAACGACATGGAGAAAGGGCCGGTTCTGAGACCCATGAAACCCAACAATTCCCTCCCATCTGTAGCCCTATACTAAGATCGAGGTATTCGATCTCTCTCATCTGTATCTGCGTGAAGACCTCGAAATTCTTTTAGATGGGCTGGAACCACACCGAACGAATCAAGATCCATGATACGAAAACAAAAATCAGAATGAGTAAGAATAGGAGATCATAAGGTAGATTTCTAAATCTAGAAAGATATGAAAACAATTGAAAACAGCACCTGAAAAGCCCTTGCTACAGTATCGTCATTAATTGTTGACGGCGAGTTGGGGCCGCAAGGATCAATTGCCATGGCTGAGTTAATGGTTGAGGAAAGAAAAGATCAAGAATCAGAAGCGCCTTCAAGCAAGTCTACTGGAATCAAGGATTGAGTCGCTGGTTCACTCCTCAACGATTAGTGGATATTGGTACTGTCACTGCACAGCAAGCAAAGGATTGGGGATTCAGTGGTGTAATGTTAAGAGGTTCAAGGATGAAATTCCAGAACCTAAACAACTCAGTTGAGAGCTCCGTGACTGGAAAAAGGGAAGGTCGCTGGTCTCCGCCCCTTCTATTAGCTATTAGTAGGGCTGCGTATCCGTAGTTTGAATCCACTTCTCAGCGGTCGAAGGCACAGTCTTCATCTCCTTGAATCGAATGTGATAATCTTCGAGAATCGCTTATGGCAAAGGACGATGCCCACGCTTCAGGTCGATCAGAAAGACAAAAAGGTGGAGCTCTAGTGCCATTTTCCGGATTTCTAGTAATTTAAGGGCATTCCGCCTCTGATAGCACCCTAAGATTTCAGATCGGGCCGAGGAATGTGTTGTCGAGTTGACTCAAAAGAAAGCGTGGATCGAGTTGATTGGGACGGTTAGCTTTCAACTAAATTCTGTTGCAGCGGCAGTAAGAGTTGCAGAGATAACAAAAAATGTATGATCTCCTTCTCCAAAAAAATCCTATCTGTATTGACCCCTGGGTTTTCACAATCCTATATGTACTGTATTGAGGTATTGAGTTCATTCCCCGGGCTTAGTTAGTTCATTCATAGTACTAGCTCAAGACTTAAAGCACAGTTGCTATAGCTCCCCTTTTCACTATCCCACCTCTACATGAAAGGCTTTCCCCCTCGGGGAACGTAGAAGAAGGAAGTAGTGTTTTCTAGAGTCAAGTAAGCACAGATGGAACTAGAACCTATCTCATAGTATGCTTTCGACTGTCTTGCCTTCTACAAATTAGGGGAATTCTATTACATTCAATCCAATCAGTCAAGCAAAGAAAAAGAAAGGGTACGAGCAGAATTGAACCGATGGAGCGAATGCTCTCTGTGGGGTGCTGATTACATCCTTGAGTTATCTTAGCCCCAGGCCATGCTATTCAATAATATTGGAAAAATGGCAGCGTAAGGTAACAACTAGTATTGAAAGCTGGTCGCCTTTGGAATATGAGTAGGGCTCCTAGGTGGCGCGTTCGTGGAGGCAAACCGAAGGAAGAGCAAAAGGAAGGTTGGGTGCTTATGGGGCGAGGCCACTCGGCCTCGAATGGGAGGGGGCTTAGCTCTGGATCCTCCCTACTTGCAGAAATGAATGGATCAGAAGGGGGTTTGGTTCTCTCTATTTCCGGGCCGGGCGGGAGGTGAAGGCCATAAGAGAAGATTGCCCTCCCGGTAAGGAAGAGGGGAAAAAGGTGCTGTCATCTATCTCGACCAGTTTCCCGAGGCGTTGGAAATCCAGACCGGCTAGAAGTCTCAAATTGAGTACTAAAGTCAAACTACTTGTCCTCCCCAAAAGAGCAGCTGAAATCAACCCATGGCAAAGCAGCATACCCGTGGAAGCACCACCAGAGGAACCAAAACAAAACCCTCATCTTCTGTTGCCACTAGTTCCTTGAAGAAGTTCATTTTGAGAGCAAGAAGCGGAACTAGAGGGATGAAATGAAAAGTGATTCTTACGATTACGCCCAACAGCCCAAATAACCTCTGGGTTTTTTCAGATTTGGCGAGCATCTGGAATAACTAGTGAATTACAACCCTATTGTACCGCAATCGGTGCATTGGTCTTTGCAGCGTTAATGCCGGTAATGGACCTACTTACCTTGCTTGTAGACCAGCAGCGGAGCTAACTCTGCTACCAAGACGATTTCTTTATGCCCATCAAAGGACCTCGAGATGCTAATCCACGAAAAACGATACGAGAAATTCTAAAGAACTTATATACAAGATAGGAGGAGAGGAGAGGCATTATTTAGGAGATCCGTAAAAGGGTTTTCTGAGGGCCTATGGTATTGGATGAAGAAGGTGGGTCCTGCGTTGATGAGGATGATGGTGAAATGATCATCGGATCTTTTATGCGCTTAACACTTCGCATCGCATAAAATGGTCTTCTTACTCAGGGGAGATAATGCTAGCATGAACATAGCTCATCCTACGCTCGCCAACAACATCGATTTCAGAGCCTAAAACCAGCAAAGCGAGCAAGTTTGGAAAGGAGGGACTCATTCCACCCGCCGCTTGGATTGCTGAAATCGCTCAATTGAAGCCAAACCGGGTTCCTCGATAGAGTGAGATGCCAGTCAACGGTTGGCAGGGCTTGTTATGCCCAAAACAAGGCTTTTGATAACAAAAGATTTATTCATTACTACTACATAAAGCACTACATTACATAAATAACCACATATGCCTTTACTAGAGCTTTAAAAGCATTATGCTAACTACATTAATTATTTTCGATAGCAATAGCGCGAAGGAATGGATTAGGGCGTCAGGCGGGGTAGGTTAAAGGTGGGATAAGAAGAGCTTTTCAGGCTGAAGAAGCCTATTTCCCTGCAAAGAGTCAATCGTCTGCATATCGAGCGTAGCAGATGTTTTTACTCAAGTAACTCAACATTTTCAGATCAAAGTAAGAAGACATTCATGAGTAGGGTGATAGAGAGCTTCCTTGAGGAATTCTTTGAGCTTATCTATTCTATTTTTGATCATCAATGTATTGATTCAAGGCTTGATTCAGTCCCTGATGGTTGATGTTATCTTCGCAAGCAACCTAAAAAGTCAAGCGAAAGGAGCCCGCTACCCACTCTCCCTTCCCCCATTGCTGGGGGCCTCATCCTATTGATATTGTATTGATACTAAGAAGACTACACCTTACTCCGCCTTTTCTTTGGGGTCGAGGATTCATTTCTTCATTTTTGCTCATCCTTTCCTCATTTCATTTGGAAATCTTCTGCTTTTTATTTCGTTCTCGAGAAAAGAACCGATTCTATAGGAAAGTCATCTACGGTAAATAGGAGAACGAACTCACTATCTGATCCCTCAGCGCCTGAATAAAAAAGATCATTAAAAAAGCGTGAGCCGTTATTAAAACATTATAAAGTTGATGATTCCCACCAAGAATTTGATCGCCGGGTCGTGCTAATTCCATACGAATCAGTACTGAGAAGCATGTGCCCATCACTCCATAGGAAAATAGGTAAAGACTGGTAGAAAGCCCGGGGATATATCATTAAAAGAGGCAAGCGAATAGGTTGTTGTAGGCTAGTTCCCCTTCAGCGAAAGAAAGCCGGGCAAGAAACTGAGACCACTCGACCGATCTCATCCACTTGAAAATTCGTGTAAAAGTTGCTAATTCTACTTTCTAATAGAGTTGTTAGTTCTGCAGCTCTGGGAGAGAGTTCCATAATTCAATTAAAGATAGAGTCAAGGGAGAATGCCGCTGCTGATAGATCCGATCAAGGGCGGTGGTTTCTTTTCGAAAGAGAAAAATGGGCAAAGAAGGGGGTCTCCGGTACCATTGATTTATCCGTACCATAATAGACGAGGTCTTCTGAGCTCTCTTTTTCTGTGAAGAAGGGTGGCTAATACAGAGAAGAAGATTTCGCATCTCCAATGATAAGTAGCAGAGTGACTACTGATTTCCGCTCGTCGTTCCTCTCCGGCTTACCGCTTTCTTATTCTTTACTTGCCTTAGCCGAAAGTGCCGAAGCTGAGCTAAAGTCAGCATCTTCTTTTCTAGTGGTTGTAGCTCTTGTTTATTGTTTTCCTACGGCATCAACCGGACTAGAAACCCGGTGGCAAGGGGCCGAAGAGGGTCCCGCACCTCCGAGCGTAGAACATATCAGATGTTGTTAGCCAATCCCCAAGGAGGGGATCCCAGAAGTAGGGGACCGAAGCTAGCGAAGTGAACCGTTAGAAACCAGGGTATAAATAACAAGAAGTCAGGCATGTACCGTGCTCATTGACTTTCGGGTTGACGCTCAGTGCCGTTGGTCAGAAAAGGAATGAGAGAAAGGAAGATTAGAAAAGCAAGAAGAAATGGGGAGCCCGACCCGTGCGATCTTATGCCGCTCCCACCACCTCTCTACACCAGCTCCGGACGTGCACCCT